TCGAATTTCTGTGATGGTTTCTATTGTTTTATTCAGCAGGGTGGGGGCAAGGACGATTCATTTTCCAATCAAATAATAAGGAAATGAACTGAAACATACTGTCACTTAATTCCAGCAAAAGTGCATCAAGAACATTCGCATGAACCTTTCCCATCCTAGACAGTTTGCAAAAACATTACATCAACTCTGTAAAAAAAAGAAAAAAAAGAAAAAAGAAATAAAGTGGGTCTTTCGTTAAAACCAATGCTTTCACACAACTACGTGTTGTAGTTTTCACTGCATGAATACTGTAATGCTTCTTAAACAAACAAACAAACAAACAAACAAAAACCCAACCGCTTTTTCATTGTAAAAATGATCTCATTCATTGTTTAAATAACATCTGTATACCGTTACGGATTCTATAGAAACCTACAACTTTATGTTGTTGATAGATCCCGTGTTGAACCTACTTTTCAGAGCGCTGATCAGCATGTTGCCATCCTTAATCAGCTCCTTTATGAACTTATTGGTGCGATCCAGCTCAATTTCGTGACATTTCAGCCGATCTCTGAAGTCGGGACTGTCCAAAAAAGAGTCGCTGAATTCCAGCGCTGGTAAGCCCATTGTATTAAACTGCAGCCGAGAAGGGAAACGCAACAAAAAAGACGAAACACTCTTATTCGGTTTGGTAGCGTCCCACTTTTTTTTCTCTCCTTCTCTCGTCAATTCCCGTTTTTTTGTTCTTCCCCCCGTTACGACGTACAGTTACCTTTCCAACTCTTGGAACTCCGTATCCAGAAAGCCTACTTCCGGCATGTTGTTTCCCACTCCATCACTAGGAGACGTTATTTTCTTTCACCGACTCGTATTCCGACTAACCCCGCCTCCTGTGATTATGATTGGCTCACAGCACGCTGGCGTCCCCTTTTCGATTGGTTAGCAGCTTCTACATCCAAGCGCTCTGGCGGAGTTTAGAATGAAGCGCTAGCCAATCCTAGTGTGGGATCTGGGATTCACCTGGAAACGGGTGGGAAAAGCAGTGAGAAATGATAGCGGTAAGAGAGCAGCTGGGACTCCTACTGGTCTGCTTCCAATACATCAAGGACGGATGAAGAAGGTTGTCTGTGATTAAAATCACACGAAGAAAGCGTGTTATTAAAGCTATTTAATGAATGTAAAATTATTTGACAGGAACGTAGGTCCTGTTTATTAGGACATGTTTTTTTTCTGAGAGACATTATGAACAATCAAATAACAATCCTTTTTTTTTTTTTTTTTTTTTTACTACTGGAAATAAAGTAAATATTGTTTATGATTATTGTGATAGCAGTACTTGGGTGTTCTGTATAAATAAGAGTTCTTTACTTGCTACAAACATTTGCAAGTGCTCATTTGGCTGGTGCTTTTATCCAAAGGACTTACAGCCGAGATAGGATACAACAAAGCAGTTTAAGGATTAAATGTCTTACTCATGGACAAAGCACAGACAGCTTTGCGGTGCAGGGATTTGAACTCACAACTTTCTGATCATCAGGCCAAATCCATAAACATTGAACCCTGACTATCCAAATGTAGAGTCCTGCACGGGCTGGCAACCCATCACAGGGCACAATCACACACATTCACACACTAGTGCCAGTTAGCCTACAGTGCATGTCTTTGGTCTGGAGAAGGAAACCAGAGTACCTGGAGGAAACCCCTGAAGCAGGATGAGAGCATACAAACACCACACACACACAGAGGCAGGATTCAAACCCCCAACCCCGGCCTTGCAAGGAAAAATGGTAAATGGCGCACTTATATTGCGCTTTTATCCACTGTGGCACATTCACCCATACTCCTCACACACCAATGGTAACAGAGCTGCCATGCAAGACACTAACTTGCCATCGGGAGCAACTTGGGGTTCAGGGAATCGAACTGCTACAATTAGTGGACAACCCGCTCTACCACCTGCGCCACAGCTGCTCTGTGCTAACCACCAAGTCACCATGCTCTACCTTCTTCTTCTTCTCCATCTATCCATCTTCTACTGCTTACTCCTTCTTCAGGGTCACGGGGGAACCTGGAGCCTATCCCAGGAATCATCGGGCACAAGGCGGGGTACACCCTGGACAGGGTGCCAATCCATTACAGGGCACACTCACATACACACTCACACACCCATTCATACACTATGGACAATTTGGACATGCCAATCAGACTACCATGCATGTCTTTGGACCGGGGGAGGAAACTGGAGTACCTGGAGGAAACCCCCGCAGCACACATGTCCCCGGCAGGAATCGAACCACAGACCCTGGAGGTGTGAGGCGAAAGTGCTAACCACTAAGCCACCATGCTCCACCTTCTTCTTCTTCTCCTTATTATTATTATTATTATTATTATTATTATTATTATTATTATTATTATTATTATTAGTATTAGTAGTAGTAGTAGTAGTAGTAGTAGTAGTAGTAGTAGTAGTAGTAGCTGCAACAGTAGTAGTTGTGGTAGTAGCAGCAGCAGTAATAGTGGTAGTTGTAGTAGTAATCGAAGTAGTAGTAGAAGTAGAAGTAGTAGTAGTTATAGTAGTATAATTGTAGTAGTAGAAGTAGTTATAGTAGTGTAATAGTAGTAGTAGCAGTAGTAGCAAAAGTATCCATAGTTGTAATAGTAGCATCAGCAGTAGTAATAGCAGTAGTGGAAGTAGTAATACTAGTAATACTACTAGAAGTAGTAATAATAGTACTAGTAGTAGTAGTAGTAGTAGTAGTAGTATAAGAACTAGTAATAGCAGTAGTAGTAGTAGTAGTAGTAGTAGTAGTAGTAGTAGTAGTAGTAGTAGTAGTAGTAGTAGTAGTATATCTGAACCTAGTATCATGAGAAAATAATACAAGGGATCAGGGAAATTGGATTGTTTGAATTTCCATTGATCTCATACAAATACAATTATATGAAAAGGTATAAACATTAACCCCACCCCAACCCTAAACTTTATTTCGGGTTATGCTTCATTTGCTTTGTTGAACAAAATTAATGTATTTGTTTTACAATTTTGCAAATGTGAGACCATGTGGCATATTTACACTATTCAAGGTTCATCAAGGGTCCTGTTAATTGGTTCTAACTTTCTAAAGAAACCTTTGCAAAATGTTCTATATTTACACTTAGAACATTTAAGCATGACCCTTGACGGCAAATCAAAGGATAGTAAACTGTACCTTTAAAAATGAATGTACTTAACTGGACCTTAAAAACCACTCATGTACACTGATTAACATTTACAGAAAAGCTTTAAATGTATAACACATGCACCTTTCCAGATAAAAGACAATAAAAGTACAAAAATATACAATTGAGAGTACCACCACAGTAACAAGGGAAAAAAAAGAGAATAGTATAGGACCATTTTACTCCAAAGTGTAATGTGCTACATAGAACCTCTTTGTTAATGTGCTTTGAATGACTCTTTCATAAACTTAGAGGATGGACTGCCATCTAGAGGACTACTTACAGATCATTCACTTCCAAACTGCAGGCTTAATAATTCGAGCCGGATATTACCTAAAGGGAGGGGGTAAAAAATAAATAAATAAACCCATCAAAAAACAAAACTAAAACAAAAAACAAAACAACAACAACAACAAAACCCAACAACTGCCCAATGTTATACCTGATAGAAAAGACTTCACCAATCAAATACAATTATATATGTCGTGACACTGTGACATTCAGCGATCATGTAACATGGTCTAAGCAGTACAGACTATTTTTAACTTGACCCTCAGTCCTGCAGATGGTAAGCACTGTGGAGAGTTCGGTTAGTTAACATTATTTAAGGTAAGTTATCTTTTCTCACATATCTGCCAGAGATCTGTCTTCATTCATCTCAAAATGATGAGACACATTGTAAGAATTACTTTAAATGTGTGTTTTTGGTTACTGCTTATAAATTATGCCAGCAGTCAGGATAAAAAGTCAAACAGACATACAAATGTTCCCTGTACTAAAAATGTCCTCTGTTTCAAGGAACTGCAGAGAATCATTTGTCACAGAGGCACAGATGGTATGTTTATTTTGTTTCCTTTCTGGTACAGAGCCCATGTTTGAGTCTAGACAAATTGATGTTAGAACTGATCCTGTTACGTTAAGTCAACCAAAACTTGTTTTGAAGTCTATAAAATTAACCACTTTAATGTAGATTATAATAAATAATTACAACCCCAATTCCGAAAAAGTTGGAACAGTGTGGAAAATGCTAATAAATACAAAAAGGAGTGATTTGTAAATGTACTTTGACTTGTAGCCTATTTAAACAAAAAACGTATAAAGAAAAGGTATTTGATGTTTTAAATAAACAACTGCATAGTTTTTTTGAAGATAAACATTTACTTTGAAATTGATGCATGCAACACATTCCAAAAAAGTTAGGACAGGGGCAGTTTAGAACTAATAGCGATGTGACAAGTTGAAATAAGACGGTGATGTGAAACAGTCTAATCGTCTAATCATGGTATATAAGGAGCCTCCAAAAAGGCCTAGTCCTTAAAGAGCAAAGATGGGTCGAGGCTCGCCAATTTGCCAATAGATACATCGGTGAATAATCCAACACTTTGAGAACAACATTCCCCAAAGACATATTTGTAGGATTTTTGCCATTTCATGTTCTACAGTGTACAATATAATTAAAAGATTCAAGGAATCTGGTCAAATCTCGGTGTGTAAAGGGCAAGGCCAAAAACCACTTCTGAATGCGCATGATCTCCAATCCCTCACACATCACTGTCTTAAAAAACGTCATGAGTCTATAATGAGATCCTGACCTGGGCTCGAGAATGCTAAGCAGCACCATTCACCGCTGCATAGACAGATGCATGTTAAGTCTATACTATGCAAAGCAGAAGCCATACATCAACACTGTCCAGAAGCACTGGCGACTACTCTGGATTCAGTCTCATCTGAGATGGACAGTAGCACAGTGGAATCGTGTTTTCTGTACTGTCCCAACTTTTTCGGAAGTGGGGCTGTACATTACCGGCGGTAGCTCAGTGATTAAGCTGTTGGACTACTGCTCAGAAGGTTATGAGTTCAATCCCCAACACTGCCAAGCTACTACTGCTGGGCCCTTGAGCAAAACCCTTAACCCTCAACTGCTCAGTAGTAAAAATGTGAGTTGCTCTGGATAAGGGTCCATCCATCCATCCATCTTCTATACCGCTTATCCTTTTAAACCTGGAGCCTATCCCTGGGAGCATCGGGCACAAGGCGGGGTACACCCTGGACAGTGTGCCAATCCATCGCAGGGCACACTCACATACACACTCACACACCCATTCATACACTATGGACAATTTGGACATGCCAATCAGACTACCATGCATGTCTTTGGACTGGGGGAGGAAACCCCCACAGCACGGGGAGAACATGCATACTCCGCACACACAGGGCCACGGTGTGAATCGAACCCCTGGCAGTGTGAGGCGAACATGCTAACCACTAAGCCACTCTGGACGAAGGTTTCACAAAAAAAATCCTTAAGGCAGACACTGCAATATACTGTGTTTTGCTCATTTTGTGCACTAAAAGGGTTTAATCATGTACAATTATTATTATTATTATTATTTAAAATGATAAGAAAACACTCACTCAAAGTTTAAGGTAATAACTTTACTGATATTTCTGATATGTAATGAATGAAACACTTAGGAGTGTGCTGTTATAGGAAAATAATCAACAATGGGGTAGTGTGATGTGGCCCAACGTGTAGCTGTTACCACCCCCAAGGATAATTTTTTTTATGATGTCATGTTTAATGTTGGACATCGTCCACAAAACAAGTTAAGTTGTCATTTATTTTTACAGAATTTATAAACAGTCATTCCCTTACCAGTGTCACTTTTTTCTCTGTCTTAAAATTAAATAAGACAAATGTTACGTTGTCATGTTACAGAGAAACCGGAGAATACAGTCCTCTGCCCTGAAGACTTTCCTGTTCCGAACATATTCACTATTACAAAGCACCGATACTGGAGACTCCTTCCATAAATATTGAATAAATGCCTCCTCTGAGAAATCATCAGCATATCATTGACTGCATATTTTTCCTTTTTCTTTAGGTTAAGATTACGGAGCTCCGCCATACAAATCCAATACTCCCAATATATTACTATAGAAATCATAATGCATTAAAATGAGTGCATTAATATAAACCTGTGCTTTGCAGCTGCACTAGTGTGAGAGCCACTGTTATCAAAAATTAATAAACACCTGACCAAACAGATTTTAGAATAGTGCTATTGGTATAAAATGTATATAAGTCTGAGTCTGAGTTATCAGTTATGTTCTAATTAGTTTTTTTCTTCTGCAATGCTTTGCCATTTCAGAGCAGATATAGGAGGTCAACGTCAGCATCAGGCAAGGGGCTGCACAGGCACTGTGAGAGCTGCCACAGAAAATATTGCAACGCTCCCATAGAGATCTCTGTGTCATGCATGATCATCAACTGCCGCTTGCTGTGTGGTGCCTCCTTTCACATGTGCAAAGAGGAAGAACACATACTGCTATGCCCTAATGAGAAAGTGCCCTGCATCAATGCCAACAATGGCTGCCCTTTCAGCATGTGTCGTTCGAAGCTGGCCAGACACCTAAAAGTATGTCCTGCTAGCGTGGTGGTTTGCTCAATGGAGTGGAACCGTTGGCCCACTGAGGACATAAAGTCACCTTTATTTAGCAACCTCATGAAGAACATCCATGAGAATCAAGCTCTGGACCTGTCCATGGCTCTCAGAGATCAGAAGCAACTATGCAGCAGGCTGAAAATGAGAAGCTTCTTTCCTCATTTGACGGAGGAACCAGATGAACCTATTCCAACAGAAGCAGATTTTGAGGCAGCAGAGGGTGACTTTTTGGTTAATGGAAGTTATATGAATTGCATGGGAGGTGAGGCCTCAATAAATGGTCCTGTTAATGTCCAGGTGGGGGAGTCTGTTGAGGAAGATTTCACTGTGGACAAAGAGAAATACAACATATACGAGAAGATGTTTAGCAAGGAAAGAGGAGGTTGCAAGCAGGCTCAGGAAGAAGAATCAAAAACAGGAGTTCAAAAAGACAAGACTAAACCAACTAACGGTTCAATTAACCCATCTATCCCTAATCAACAAGGAACTGTTAAAGCAACAGTGGAAGATAGACATGGAGCAGAATCTGTCCAATCAGACGTCTCTAAAACTGGCTTTGCTCCTTGGCAAGAAGGAGTTCTGGAAAGACTTAGTCAAGAAGTAAATCCAAGAGAGTACAACATGTATTTAGTACACCATGGACGCATGCTGATTTCCTTTGGTCAGATTAAAGCTTGCACTCCAAGAGAGAAAGATTTTGTTTACGGAAACCTGGAACCAATACCAATTCAAACCCTTCATACTTTTAATGTTCCCATCAGTTACAGGCACAAACGCATCCATCAGAAAGATTATGATGCCCGAGTGCGCACTGAGCACAAGAGCGTGGACACCTCTGATTTGGGTTTATCTACAGAGGGGGTCACTCATAAGATGGATGAGATTTTTGCAACTTTGCTATGTGCTGCTGAACTGGAGATCAGAGGGCACAAGATCAGTGAATCTGTGGCCACAGATGGACTTTATGTTGATATTGCAACTCAGACATATGACTTTCTCACAGCTCCATTTGAGTACAATGCCACTCTGGCTGATATTACAGAGGACAGGGATTTAAAACTTTATCTCCAGATCGATACAGAGAGCGTGACACTTAGACACAACAAATCCACTTCAGCGTTCACATTTATGTGTGAACATTTCTTCAGAAGGGATGAGTTTGCATCTCACTTTAAAAACGTCCACTCAGATATCCAGTCTTGTTTGGATGGCTGGTTTGAGCAGAGGTGTCCTCTGGCTTATCTGGGCTGCACCTTCATCCAGAACCGACTCCAGCCCTCCACTCACAGAGCTACAGTCTGCTTTAACAAGGACCTCAGCATCTTCACACTCAGACCTGACATTGCCACACCACTCATGGCTGATTCCCAAATGCAAATTGAATATGAGGATTCTCTCAGTAACCTTCCTTTTGAGGTGTTGCGTCAGATCGCCAGTTACCTGGATAGCTTCTCTCTTTCCCAGCTGGCTCTGGTGTCACGACTTTTCCGAGATGTTAGTGCCACATTCCTGCATGAGAGAGGAATGGTCAGCTTGAAGTGGAGGAAAAAACTATACTCTCATGGTCAAGCCAAGTGGAAATCATCTGTCGTAAGTATTTTTATGATGGACGCTGTTGTAGAACATGCATTACTAAAGGAAATGCACAAGTCAAATGCATAACATAAACATAAACACCTTGCATTCTTTAATAAGTGTCTTTAAAATTTTGGCAGATGTTAGCTGAAGCTAGCTGTTTATATCCCAACCAAAGCTGCACCCTCAAAACATATGGGCTAGACTTTTTTTTAGATGGGCCACACTGCAAAACAAAAAGTCAAGAGGGTGGAAAAGGACCTAATAAAACTCCTCTCATAAGCCTAACCCCTAACCCTTACCCACAAAACACTGATACATACTAAACACACGTATCTAGGCTGAACCAAGTTGTTTCCAACACCTGGACTTTTGGTTTGATTTCACCTAGGAAGGAGGAACTGGATCTGGTCTGACTCCACCCCACTGACTTTTTGTTCTGCAGCAAGGGTGGCCTGATTGACAGGCATGTAGACATGCCTCCATGTTCTGATTAGTTGGATTTTGGTGGTCTACACCCACATTAGATCAATATCGGCTGTTGGCCAATACTCAAAGGTCTGATGTCAGTATCATATCAAAATGTAAAAATGGGCATAGTTATACATATTAGGTATATTTATTAATGATTATTAATAATTGCATTTGTTGATTATTTTTGATTATAATTGATTATAATTGAATAGTGATTATTTTATTCTCAATGTTTTTCCTTTCTTTTTCTCACTCATTCTCTTTAAGGTTTGGGAGTTCAGCAGTCTGTTCAGCAGAGTGGGCACTTGGTGTATTGGTGACACTCTTTCCATGGCTGAGCACCTTAAGCATTGTCCGTTTTACCAAACAGAACCCAAAACCAAGCCTTTTCCACTGGCCAGCATATGGAAAAACAATGAAGATTCAAAGGATTGGAAAAGTCTAGTCACACAATTTATTGGGCGGCGCTAACATTAACATGATTACTAGCTTGATTGGGGCTTAGTGGTTAGTATGTTTGCCTCACACCGCCAGGGTTGGGGGGTTCGACTCCTACCGCTGCTCTGTGTATGCGGAGTTTGCATATTCTCCCCATGCTGCGGGGGTTTCCTCTGGGTACTCTTGTTTCCTCCCCCAGTCCAAAGACATGCATGGTAGGCTGACTGGTATGTCCAAAGTGTCCGTAGTGTATGAATGTGTATATGCTTGTGCCCTGCAATGGATTGGCACCCTGTCCACGGTGTACCCCGCCTTGTGCTCCATGCTCCCTGGGATAGGCTCCAGGTTCCCCCGTGAGCCTGAAAAGGATAAGCGGTATAGAAGATAGATGGACTGACTAGCTTGATTGTTGTGTAATTTTTACAAGTTATTACACTAAATGGAAAGAACATGAAAGTGTAGCGATCACAATGACATTTTTTAGGATAAATGTTGACACTGATCTTTTGTATCAGGCTGAAATGTACCGTTTCCTTAACTGTAATGAGGCCTATGTTTCAGTAAAATAGAAATGGAAGGATTATTGAGATTAAAAGATTGTATCTAATCTCACCTCACTGGATCCTTGGAAATGGTTGATCAAGATTAACCACTGGAAGTTTGCCTACCAATGCCCATCTGTTTCTGTTCCATGCCAAACACTATGATTTCTGGGGTCTAAAACATCATCCTGAAGATTTTACTATGACTGAATGCATATTGAGAGTCCTTCCATAAATGTTAAATAAAATGTTTCTTCATAGAACATGCCACGCTATCAATGATTATGCTTTGCTTTGCTTTATAATCTATAGAAAATATATTATTGGGCCAAAAGTATGTGGACACTTGAATATTGAACACAGGTGGGCAATCTTATCCGGAAAGGGCCGGTGTAGATGCA